GCTTTTTTTTTGCTTTTCGTTTTTTTGGGTTTCCAAAATTTTTTTTTTTTTTTTTTTTTTTTTTTTAAAAAAACACCCATTTTTTTTTTTTTTTTTTTTTTTTTTTTTGGTCCTGATGTATTTCTTCTGTGTTTTTTTTTCTGTTGTTTTTTAAAGGCTTTTACTTTTGCAATATTTACCCAGCGGGTTGCAGCTGTAGGGGAGAAACGTCATCGAGGCAAAAACGACAAAAGTGTTAAAGGTTGCAGTGAACATGGTTTGAATTTGCTTCTCACCCTTAATTTATTGAGGTTTATTTTTTTGTTTTTTTTTCTGGGGGGGCACACGAACGCAGCGTTAGATGTGTAGACGAAGGAAATCGGAGCAGGTAGAAACGGGTCCAATGCCGTCCGCGTTTCGTGAACGATGAAACGGCACGTGGGCGGTGAAGGCGAGAAGCGGCGTCCGTCAATCATCAGCTGACAGAATGACAGCGTGGGGCCGGGGGAGGATCGTATACGTCTGAACATCCTGCATTCCTACGACACCTAAACGTACAAAGTACGCAATGTTTACACATTGAGTATACATCAAAATATCACGCGTAAAGTACGTGTTGGCATCACGTCAACAACACAATACGTGTTTACGTGACTTTTTGACGCGCATTCGACGCATGTCCATCATTTACTTTACACGTCGTTTCCACGTTGCATACGCGCCAAAGTAACGCAAAATGTTCACGTGTATATGACCCTGCTGGCGCTCCATAGGATTGGTACCAGCGCGACGCGTGATGTGCCGTGTTTTCTGTTTTTCTCGTATGATTGTGAAAACCGTGTGCAGTAGGTCCAACGAGTATTTCTTAACGAGCATTACCTCTTTTTTTTTTTGTCTTTCTGTTCCTTACAAGTATTATCAGAAGTGTTGCTATGCATGCTCTTGCGAGAGAGGAAAGTTGTCAGTCTTGTTTTTTCGTTTTTGTTTTTTTTATTATTATTATTTGTGCATGAATTCAAATCCTAGTGCTGGAGGAGGACGGGAGTGTTTACGGTGCAGGGAGTGGGGAGAGCTTTTGCGATGCGATGCGCTGCGACGAGACTGACGAGGAATGTTAGGGAGGGTCCGGGGTGAAGTGTTTAAGGCTCAACGGGAGGCGACAGGAGCGCTCCGCGTTAATCTGGTGAGGAGGATCTCTCGCCTGTGCCTCTGTCGTCATGGTGAACTTCCAGTCGTTTTGGATGAATAGTTCAATTCGGTTCCAACTCATCTGAGGTCGGATTCTGGCACACGGAGGGAGGGATCCCCGCAGCCGTTGTTTCGAGGGCATGAGGTGTTTGCTTGTTCTCATATCTGCTAATTGGGGCAAATTGTATTTGGAAAGCGTAAAAAAAATTAATAAAAGAAGAAACGGATTGATGCGAAGGAAGCAAAAGTTCTCCTATCCAGCCAGCCAGCCGCCAGCCCAGTGGGAGTCTGTGTACAGCAGTTAATAAATGGGTTTGAATTGCATGTGAAGGTTTCTTTTCTATGTCACATGCTCTTAAAAGCTCATTTATCCAAGTGATTTTTTTTAAATAAGTGAAAGTAAATAAGTGTATTTTCTCATGATGTTTTATTTTGCCAGCCTTGTGTCTGCCTTCTGTTTATTCTCTTCATTATTATTGAATGTATATAATAAATAAACTGTTTGGTTTTTATTCTGGTCTTCGGATGCTCTCATGTCTTCTCTCACGTGTAGTTTTGGTTGTCGCCTTGCAGAAATATCACAACCGCACACTTCAATCTGTATTCTGATGTTATTTGTGGTGCACCAATTGATCGGCACAGATTTCCTTCATTTTGGTAGATCGTCCGATACTTGCATGTGAAACCGATCTCATCTACCTCAGGAAAGGTCTGAAAATTAACCACTGACCCCTTTTGCTTTGGCAAGACTTGAGACATTTGACTGACGGTCCACCAGGTTATGCCTGCATATTTAGCAACTTTTCAGAGGCGAAAAAACTATCTCTACGTCGGACTTTTTCAAAATCATGATCGGCCAGAACACAGCAATCGGTGCACCCGTAGATTTTATGTGATAGACCGGGACATAATAGACTGTAATGGAATATGTCAGATCATTTAGGTTGTACGTATGTCGTTAAAAAGTCTTAAATTCGTATTAAAATTAAAGCCTCAAAATGTGAAATGAATTTCTAAAAATGTAATTTGGTTTTGAATACGCTATATTTTGTCACGGAAGGATGATTTGACTTAATTTTGTATTTCTAGTTGTATATATATATATATATATATATATATTTGTCGTTTTGAGTCGCACACAGACAAATCTTCATTATGCTCTAACTCGATGCTAACGAGAACTAACTAGCTTTTCTATCATGGTGAAGTGCAAATTTATTTTTAAAGACAAAAAAAAAAACAGGTTTTGTTTAAACATTATGGGGAACTGTAACACTTAATTAGAAAACTTTTAATTGCGCCAATAACTTTCCAGAAAGGTGAGTAGCAACTGGCTACAATTATTTGAGTGACTTTTTGGGGAGGGGGAGGGGGGGCGCGGAGATACTTTTTAGGAAGGAATAGTTTTACAGCACTGCATTGCATTTTTTACTTTTACTTGGGTAATATTTAATTTGAAGTATCGCAACTGAAATATTTAGCAATTATTTTGTGATTATATTTTGTTTATCTAAATTTCTCGTTCTGTTTTAAAAAATAATTTGCACTTTATATATTTGTCTGCCCAATTGCGTAATTTAAAAATATTACCCTACTTGAGCAGCTTTTTGTATTTTACAAACTTCATTTTTACTCCAGTAATTTCAGTTTTACTTGAGTGAAAAATATGTTGAATTAGCGCTACTTTGGGTTGTCGGTCAGAAAATGGGGAACTTTAGCTTCCGCAAGCCGAGATGATTGATGGAAGCAGCAATTGCACTGGATTACAGCGGCTGGCTCGACTTGCAGAGGCGTTCCCGTCTCTGCTTGTGTCCCCCGGACCGAAATCCTCTGAGCGATAAGCGGCTCCAAACACCTCCAAACTTTTTCTCATCGCTGCCAAGGGGGAAACAATCTGGAACGAGCTTTAATTGCATGTGGAGCTAATGGCCGTAAATGGGTTGGATGTGGCAGGAAACCTCATATACTTGCTAATTGCTCTAATGCACGAGAGGCCAATTGCCAATTTGATGCCACGTGCTTTTCTGAGTAATTGAAGTTGGGGTAATTGGAAGAATAGATTGAAGAGCATCTGATAAAGAAGAGGTGGGTCGTACGAGGGATTTGGTTTATTGAGGTTAGGAGCTGGCCCTAGTGTGGAATAAATCACTGCGGTTCTCAGTGGAGGGAAAAATGCGATTATTTCATTTAAATCACCCTCTATGCTGTTTTAGTTGGTCGCTATGATGGAATTTTCTGTCAGTAATGCGATAGCTGCACTCTAATAGCGGTTCCTGTTCCCCTGTAGTTCCTTGAAATGCCCGTATGTCGCCATCTGGTGGTCAAACTGTGACACTACAACGTGTTTGAGAGGAAAAAAAAAACCCAGTAAAACTTGTTTCATTAAACACCGATTTTTTCACCCCCTCCAAGTGTTAGTTGCTGTTAATTTTTTGAGTATGGTGTAAAGCTAATGAAAGAACAAAATGAAGTTTATCAGAAATTAAAATGACATGAGATCAGGTTTTTACTGGAAGGTTTGTCCTGCTGTACAGTAGCTGCACTGCACACTTGGCCTTTTGTAATTAAGTGCTTTGCTATTATTTTCTGATCAATTAAATTATGTTCATTAGCTGTAAGTCAATAAGACTTAAATGTTTGAAATGTCAATCTGCCTATATTTCAGTGATATTAAATGGATTTCACTTGAATTGAATTACCTTTTTAATGACCACATCTGAGCCTGTGTGCATAGTGCAACTGAGCCTCTGTAAAATAACTTTTTATTGACAAAATATTTTATATGTTATAGAAATTGCAACTTATCGGCAGACATCTTTCGGTGTAATCTTAATTTCAGGGCTTCACCCTGAAATCCACCCCAATTTTCTTAATTTTGGGCAAACGGACGGTACATGTGATCTCATCCACCAATTAACAATAGTCACCCCACTGTTACCAAGTTCGTGACTTTATCACTATATTTAGCAACTTCCAGCCAAAAAAAAAATTAACAGGTCAGGCTTTTTAAAAATGCAATCGGTGCACATCTACTTAATCTACCTTGTGCAGGAACAACCACAGAACAGCAAAACTGTAAATCTCAGTGAGAGGATGCAAGTCTGTAATGGCACACTCAGTCCTGTCCTGTCGTCCGTTTCATCTCATCTCATCTCATCTGATCTCATCCCGTCTCTCAGATCCCACCTCACGGTTTCATCTCATCCGTTGGCCTTTCTCCTGTCTGACAACCCGCTTTTGGCACCTTTGCTGTGATGGTTTCACGCCTCCTTTTTCACCTCAGGGGGGCTTTTATATACATCTCTGATCAGGACAGAACGTGACCACATATAATGACAGAGACTCGATTCCTCTGCTCTCCATCCGACCTCGTCAGACGTCTGATTCCCATTTCACTTACGGAAGCATTTCATCTTACGAAACAAAACACCAACAATATTTACATTTGCACATATAAACGTCCATGACCCTTTGGTCTTGCGGTGGATTTTCTGCATGTGCATTGGTGAGCCGTGATGTATTTTTATTCTTCTCCATAGTATTCGTCATAGGGTTGATTGAAGTTGGTGGTCTGAGGGCGAGGGATGGTGTAATCCTTGTTGGGGTCGATCTCCTGAAAGACACGGTGATGCTCTGGGTAAGCGGTGTGTTCATTAAGTTTATTGCATTGCTGAGCTGCTGAGGTAGAAAGTCTCAGGGTGGAAATGTGGAAAATGTTTTTTTTTTTACCGTCATGGAGAAGCCTGATTCGTAGGGGGATCGCAGCGCTGGCTCAGCTCTCCTGCCTGAGGGGGGAGGAGACATGATGCAGTTTGGGAAGAATCAGGTCAGCGTTTGCAGTTCATCATAAAGATACACAGTGCGACCTGAGCAGAATGATGGCACATTCACCTGCCCAGACTCAATCTTTGCTCTGTTTCTTGCAGCTTTTATCAGCAGAAAAATCTATTTCCTCAAGGAAAACATACCCCTCAACGCCCACATACACTCAGATTTAGAATCTCCTAGTACAAAATAGCTTTTTGCTTTTTTTATGGCAGATATTTTCATATTTAATACTTTCTGTATGTCATAAATCATAATCATGCCATAAAGGTTACCACAGGTAGGGCTATTTGCATTCACAGGAGGATGATAACCATTCACAGCAGCAGCCCAGTGCAGGGACAAGATTCTCTCAGAATCTGGAAGGGAAAAGACTGAAAGCTGTATTGACCAGGTCTGGACCTGGATTAACTTTTTATTTACTTATTATTCACTTTTTATTTGACCAGTCAGAAGAGACTGTTAATTTGGACAGTCTCTTCTGTCCATTTTGGAGCAACCTAACCAGAGTTTGGACACAATTTGAGACAGAATCTGTGGAGAGAGCTAAAGATTAAGGTGATGGCAATGAGGCCTTCTGAATTTCAAAACTATGAGCTCATCACCAGACATAAATGATCAAAATACCAGTGGAAACTACAAAAAGCTGCTTGGCAAGAAGAAAGGTTTGATTGGTGTTATGCAAATAAAGATTTTTCCACTTACTGTTAGAAAACTCTTAGGTAAACGGAGTAAAATATATTAAATCAGGAATATGAAAAATGAAGTTTCTTAAAAAAAAACCCCAGTAAACATCTCCAATCTGCAGTTTTTTTATCCTGATTGTAGAGAATAAATGGTCATAACCTCATTGCTACGGATTTACATGGAGCCATAGTTTAGCGGGGCTCACCAGAGCGATGTGCTTGGGCCCCAAAATATTTATATAATTAATGACTGTTTAGCATTTTATACATTTCCCAAGAAAATCTTTTAATTAGCTCTTTTAATCCCTCTGATTTCTGCACAGTTGGCTAATATTTGACACCAACTATTGGCAAATGATGGTGATGTCATAGCCTGACCTCTAACCCAATGTTTCCCAATCCCGGTCATTAAAGCTCTCTTCCCTGCATGTTTTAGGTGTTTTTCTGCTTCAGCACACCTGATATCACTTGATGGCTGACTAACAGGCTTTTCTTGATCTGCAGTCATCCGAACCAGGAGTGTTAAGGCAGCGAAACATCTGAAACATGCAGAGCAATGATGCCTTGAGGAAAAGAGTTGGGGAAACACTGAGAGTGTGGTAAGCTAATGCTCATCCCCAACCACATCAAATGCAGCATTTATTTATTTTTTTGTGGGTTTCAGCAATTTGGTTCCATCGCCACATGCAGGCCTGGAGGAGCAACTAAACGTTTGGATGAAGATATTTTGAGAAATATCTCATTGATTCATATGGACAGAACTTTTTTATTATACAGTGTCCCATAATTTACTGCTAGAAGTTTGAAGCGGGTGTGGTTACTACACTGATGTACATTAGAGAGGTAGGATCTTGTGAGAACTTCCTGCAAGCCAGAAATAACTCTGTTCTTGTTCTATGCAAGTAAACTTATTACGTTCTGACCCCGAGAGATGGCAAATATGAAATATCTTGAATTAAGGAAACTTGTTGGCAAGTGAAGTGACCTGAGCTCGGCGGTCAATGCCGGTCCTCAGGGGCCGTTGTTCTATGCATTTTCCATGTGTCCACGGTTCAATACCACTGATTCAAATGAATGCGTTATCTCCTTAGCCTGACATTGATTTCCACAGAAGTAACGACCCACTTATTTAAATCAGGAGTGTGAGAACGGGGAAACGGGCCAGTTAGCAGATCCCGGCTTTACTGGGTGTAGGAGAAAACCAGGGCTTTTTGGTACCATGCGAACTACAGTATCGTCACAATTGTTAATTTTGGATAGTTGGCTACGTTAAATATAAAAATTGTCAGAAAACATCATAAATATTCGTATTTGGTTTCAAACGTTAACACTTTAAAAGTTTTCAGATAAAACCTTCTGGGATTTTGTAATTCAATTCACACAAGAAAATCCAAGCAGGAAGTAGTTACATACATTTTCTCTACCCAAGACAGAAGAATATAAAATGTAAAACCCTCTGCTGCTACAACATAAAAGTGTATGTAATACCAGCCATTCAAATTACAAGCAAACTGTTTTATGGATTTTTTTCTTCCCTTCTGAAGTTGTCGAATCACATGTTTGGAGCGTCTGCATTTGCTTCAGTTCAGTAAGTTTGTTTGTTCGTTTTTGTGTGAAGTTCCTTTACAAAGTATTTACACCCTTTTTATTTTTTTTTATTTTTTTACAATTTCCTCAATTTAAATCTGCAGCCCTCAATGTGCAACTTAATATTGGGATTTTATGTGATCAGTCCTTTCTCTGTTTGCACTGGATTTTATTTTGGGCATCAAAGTAAAGTGGGTCAAACATCCACACTGCTCAGATTTTTAAACAATGTCAAAATTATGTCCCATTTCATTTTCACGTGATAATTTGTGTTGTATCACAGGGAAATGCACTGAAGTTGGTCATTGTAATGAGACAAAGTTTGAAGTGTGTGAATACTTATGCATGTTTTAAAATAATTTAAATTAGTAAATGGATATTATACTTTAATCTCCTCTGTACTACATCAAAAAAATATATATTATTGTGATTTTAGTTTGAGCCTTCAAACTGTTGTTGTTTCATTGAATTAAGACACATTAACGACAGAGAAATATGTGAGTCTTACAGGGATTTTTTTGAAATGGGGATTTACCTTATTACCAGTATTTAAGTCATATGTAATTGGTCATTTAAAAAAACGTAAACATGCTGCAATTTTCAGTTCAAATCTTTTCATCTCACTTGATTTGCAGGATTATAAACAAGTTCTAGACCTGATGCTTTGGACTTTGTACAGCTGAGGTGAGTGAGCCCAGACTAAAGCTGCAGGATAACAAATGCAGTTTGGATCTAAGTAGATTTAACAGATTTCCTAATCTATTAAATCTAATGAGTTTTGTTTCTGCTACATCAATAACATAAATATTTGCTGAATAGAAAACAGAATCACAGTTGAGAATCACTCTAACCATGTCTCCATCTCACCTCTCCTGTTCTCGCCATCGGTCTCAAAGCTTCCGTTTTCCTTTCCTTCCTTCTGGCTTTCCAGTCCGGGAATGTTGGCGTTGGGGCTGGTCCAGCCTACAAAGTTTAGAGGAACTTCCTGCGCTGTGGCCTCCCCCCTGCAGAACAAGGCGACCTGGGACAGGCCGTGCCCGATCACCAACACCCACCCGTTTGCAACCAAGGCGATGCTCAGCACCGGGTCGTCCCAGACCGGCCGGCGGTCCACCTCAGGGTTCCCCCTAGTCAGCATGGCGATCCACACCACCCAGATGCAGGCGGAGAGCAGCAGGGTGACGAAAAGCGTTGCAGCCTGAGCCCTCCACTGCTGGTTGGTGGGTCCTGTGTAGCTGTAGCTGTACGTGAAGCAGGAGCGGCACAGGATTTGCATGGACAGGATCAGGCTGATCAGCAAGAGGCAGAGCACGTAGATCTGCAGCATGGCAAACTCCTTCTGGCTGTACTCGCAGGGTTTCTGGTCCCGCACCAGGACGATGATGAGCCACTCTGTGGAGATGATGACCTGCACGGCAAAGAGCCCCAACGCCACGCCTGGTTCCCCCCAGCCTCGAGCGGCAGCGAAACCCAGCATCGCGAGGCAGCGAGCCAGCAGGCAGGAGAAGGCCAGTGCGAAGAGCACCCCGAAGAGGAAGACCCTGGTGGGGCAGGTCTGGGGCGTGAGGCCGATGATGAAGGAGAAGGTGATGGCGAAGATGCCGGCAGTGGCCAGGAGGAACAAGGACATGGAGAGTATTGAGCCCCCTACTGTGCCGCAGCGGCTGTGCCGAGAAGACATGCAGGTGCACAAGGTCCAGAGCAGCAGGCCCAGAAGGAGACCTATACTCAACAGGAAGCCTGCAGAGGCAAGGGTCTCCAGCACGATGCCCCATGCCGCCCGGCGGTCACACAGGTACCTGTACTCAGGATTCAGTCCAGTTCCACAGCCTCGCACACCCGTCAGGTAGGTAATGTTTGAGGGAGTGGTTGTGGAGTTTATTGTGGTGTTTTGGGACTGGCATGCGAGAGGGGCACAGAGGAGGAAGACCAGGGGGAAGAGAGATGTATGCTTCGTATAAGAAACGGCCATGATGGCTTTTGTAATCCACAGGAGGGCTCGGCCTTTCTTGATCAACTCTCTCTTGATGTGGCAGTTTGTTCCTGCAACAGAAAAGCACATCAGGCCATGGAGTCAACAGAGTCTGCAGCACAGCAGAGGTGAAATAGGTTTCTCAGTCAAAGTGCAGGAACAGGGAGTGTGCGAACATGCCAGGACAAAGCAGAGCAGTGAGTGAGCCCAGACTAAAGCTGCAGGATCACAAATGCAGTACGGAGCCAAGATTGAGACAGAAGTAAAAAATAAAGCCTCCAACAGACCTCAAACGCACAAACCCCAAAAGATACTAAATATGTTTGAATAGCGACAGATTCTGTTGCTTTAGCTGCTGTTACTTCTTTGTTTCACAAAAGTTATGCTCACACAGTGGACCACAATATTTGGTTCTCTAATCTGGAGAACTATGTCTGAATTATGTCAGATTTTACATAATAAAATAGTGCACCTCTGTGAGTGTCTCATACTAGGTCCCATTTTTGGCCGGAGTGCGTCAAGGCTCAATTCTCGGGCCCATATCTTTCTCCCACTACACGCTTCCCCTCAGCTACATTTCACTGATATCTTTTTTCAGAACAAATCCGATTCAATTAAATTGTAAAATCCCTTTTTCTTGCTTTCTTATCTTGATTTAATCAAACGCTGGAAGCACTGAATGACCACAGTGTGAGACAAATAAAACCTGACCTAATCATCTTTGGTCATACTGGTACTTGCAGAAGATCAACTTTGGAACTGGTACCTTTCATGAAATCAAAAATCTGCGTGTGATATTTAACACTGATTTTGAATTTATACCTGAGCAGATTCTGTGGTAAGGATTGGTTATTATAAACTGAAGGTTTTATCCGCAGATCCTGCCTCTCATGCTCTTTTTCTCTTTTTAAGATCACCTGTTAAGATCTTATTACGGCTCTTTCAAACTTGATTTGATTTGGTCTGTCACGCTTGAGATTTAAATTCTGTGCATGTCAGAATGGCGCTCAGAGATGAGCAGTCCAGATAGGTGAGCGCCACTTCCTTCAGCCTGTAAAGTGAAGCCTTTGTTTGCCTGTCAGAGATTCAGAAATGACCTTTCTGCGGATTTAATCCAGCCCAAATCTTAAATTTTAGCTTGACACTGTCCTGTTTCGGTCTTCTGATTGAATTCTGAGGAAACCCTGAGTTTTACTAAAGTGATTAATTGGGGTGTTATAGTTAAGCAGCTCAGAGTTTAAGCATGTGTTGGTTTGCATAAAAACATAATCCAACATGTTCATGTAGCGCGCCGCAATAGGTCCATGCTTTCATCTCGTTCAGGTCAAATTCTAAAGCTCTGCTGACGCGTTTTTATTAAAATTGTAGGAAAAGATTCCTGTTTAAGTCTGGACAAATTTATAATAAAAATGTATAATAAATACTTACCCTTTTGAGCTCTTGAAATCTTTGGTGTTGAGTCTCCTCAGTGTGAAGCCATGCAGCTCTTATCTTGCCCTATGTGCTCATATCTCTGCCAACGCCAAGTAAAACGAAGGTGGTGAGGTCATGCGCTCGCAGGCTGGATTGTTTTGCCTTCGCAGCAACAGAAAACAGAAACCTGCACCCAGACTCATTCCTTCCTCTCTGACCTGCCCCTCTCGGGTCCCACCCTCAGAGTCCAGGTGGGGCTCGTACGCCTGGAAGCGGTGTTGGCTGCAGGAGTCACACCTCCGTACATCCAAACCCCGTTTCCCATCAGAATTTGCATCCCATTTGCTGATGGCGCTGGCGCTCGATCCGGATTAACCAGAGAGTCTGGGGTTGAGTGTTGAGACATGGGCTCAGGAGGGGTGAAAATTACAGAGTTGTGAGGAACGGCTTTAAGGTGAGTCCGACTGACTCACCCCCCCGCCCCCCGGTGTCACCGGGATGCAGCCGTTGCCTGAGCTACCGGTGAATCACGACAACAACATTGGAAATCAGTTCGTTAGCCTCGGGGAGAGTTGCAGTAAGACCAGAGAATACCTTTAGACTTTTGTCTCTCTTGAGTCCTTGCAAAACACTGCAGCTCATGTCTGTACAAGCACAGCGCTCGTACGTTCAGGGCGTGTTAAACTTGGTCTGAAGTCAGCCTGTAGCTCTAATGCCAGAACAACAGTTAGGCAAGCTGGGAAGCGCCTGCTGCTTGATGGAAATGTCAGTATTGGGACGTTCGGGCGGTTAGCCGCGAACCCATGGATCCTTTACTAACTCTGCTGCCTTTAAATGCCACAGCATAACCGAGTGGTGCCGCTGGCCATGTACACCTGCTCATGGCCGCTGTAATTACTAGTTTCTGCAGGGCAACGTACGCTCTAACAGGTTGTTATGATCAAAGACTGTCATTTTGTGCATTACAAAAACAGCCTGTTCAGGTGATTTCACTTGGTAGCAGCAGGAGGATGTTGTGAGATGCAGCTAATGTTCTGTAAATGAGCTGTTTACAGAAAACACTGCAAGTTGCTCCAATTCTCTGAGTATCATTGAGCATTATTTATTCCTTGATGTTTGTCATGCGCACTAAAGCACTTAAATGTTTCAGATCATCAAACAAATTTCAACATCAGAAAAAGATAACTTGCGGAATTCAGACGTATTGGGTCTATGTTTAAAGTTCTGAAATGAGTTTTGGACGTAGCAGCAGAAATTAAGCGTTACTGTACAAGTATCAATCGGTCTTTGTGGACAAATTTTGCCTCACTTTACTGTGCGGAGTTGTTTTCATTCATCCAATCTGACCGAACTACAGCTGCAGTATGTAACTTGTAGAGAAAATAATTATAGTAGGACACAACCAATCAGAGTCTAAGCACATCTTAGTGCTGTCAGTTAAACTCCATGTGCTCTCTGCTGCGCTACAGCTAGCAGAGCCTATTGAGAATGCTAAGGCTCGTTAGCATGGCCACCCATGACGGTGGATAACCGTTTTTCTGTGGTGTTAAGTTGTAAGTTGTACACTGAGCAGCAGGTACATTAGGTTGATTGACAGTGCCAAGACCCTTCTCCTGGCTCTGATTGGTTGTTTTTGGTTGGGAGTGGTGTGTTTCTTAAGACTGCAATGGTAGCGCAGGGAGGAGGTGGAGGTGGAGGTTGATTTTTTCACAGATTATGTCTCGTACTGTCAGGACATGGTGACAATCTGAACAAACATGGGAAAAAAAATATTTTTTTTTTTTTTTTTTTTTTACAAGAGTTAAATACTGCAACTTTAACCCCAGACTCATTAGATCACTTGAAAGTTTTTTTTATTGTTTTTTTTAAAATTATTATTATTGTTTTTGAGGTTGGTGTGGTATGGATCACTGGCTGTTCTCCAAAACCCAAGTTTTCATTGGCTTAAGGTCACAAATTGATGTCCTGACGGTTATCCTACGTTATCCCGTAGGATAACCTCCTGATGAGCAGAAATCATAGCTCCATCAAATACTGCAAGTCTTCCACCTCATTGCCACTGCCATGTTTGGCTGTTGGCATGATTTTCTTTTCTGTGAAATGCTTTTAGTTTTTTGCCAAAAGACATCTAGGTCAATTTTTGTCTTTTCAGTGAACAGAATAATTTCACAAAGTCCGAAGGATGATTAAGATGTTTTTGTTAAAAATGAGAAGAACCTTTGTTGGTTTTTAGCAAACATTAGTTTAGATGGTTGGGGTTCTTCTGTGACTTCCTGGATGAGTGGTTGATGCAGTCTTGGAGTAATTTCTGTATTTTGATCACTCTTGAGAAGTTCGCCAATGTTCCATGGTTTCTCCATTTATCTGCTGTACAGTTTACAGACTGACAGATTTCAATGACTGTTTTTGTCATCTCTTCTTGATTTTCTTTAGATCAGAGGAATATTTGATTTTTTGAATATTTTTCATGTAATTAGACATTCTTATTTGTTTCTTGAGGTCTGGTAGAAATCATGTCTGAGTATTTCCAGTAAAATTGAACCCAATGAAAATGTGGTTAATCACAGTGAAGTGATGATTTCACAAGTAGATACAGTTTCACACAAGGTCAGTTCAGATGGCTTTTTCCCCTTAATAAACAGAATAGTCATTTAAAGTCTGCTCTCTGTCTTACTCTTTCGTAGGGGAAATGACTCAATCGTAACTATATTCCAAGAAAAATCTAACATTTATAGTTTAACATGCCACCAAACCAATGGTGGTATATTAGCTTTAACAACATCAGAGGCCGACACAAATGCTGAAAATATACACTTTACTGGCAGCTATCAGTACACACCAGTTCACAGTACATTTTCTGTAGTATTGTACAAACACAGAAAAAAAAAAACCCATAAAGCTTCTGTCTTCATTTTCTCTGAGAGGGGACTGGGTTCAGACAGCGACAGGAAGAAAGGGAGGTGGAGTTCATCCTCCATGATCGTGTGAAAGTGCGTTGTAGCTTTCACCCCTTCCAGCATGTTGCACGCTCTCCTTGGTGCTGAAGGTAACATCGGTCACATGGAGCAAAATAAACACACACACACACACACATGCATTCACACACCATTCGACGCAAAAGAAAAGAGGAGGAAAGTACAAAAGGAAGGTAAAAAGGTTCGTGCCGAGCAGAGACGTTATTTACATTTTAACATACAGCTAGAAGCATTAAATACGGGCTAGTGCCGAGCTAGCGTTTGGCTTGCATCCGGTGCCGTGGGTACAGAGGGGCAGGGAGCGCGCGGGAAGGCCGAAGGAGGAGGGAAGAGAGGCGGAAGAGGAAAACTGCTCTATGCGGCTGTTGGGATGGGAAAAGGTTCGTGGGGTTTTTTCTCGTCTTCTCATTTCAAGTACATATACTGTAAACAGTATCATATATTAATAATTATATAAAAATAATAATATCCACTTAGTGGAATAAAGTATGAGGTAGTCAGACGAGAGGGCGTTAGGGGGTTGGCCGGCAGCCTTATGGCGGCCTGCCGAGCCGAGACGGAGAGGCGGCCGGGTGTGGAGGGGCGGACAGAGGAGAGGTTCAGGAAGGCAGGAGGCTTAGATGATGCCGTATTTGGCCAGGTCGCTGAGCTCCATGTCGCCGAAGGCTTCCCATGGGCACACCACTGTGATGTCGGTGCCGAGACCCTCCATGCCGGGGATGTCGTCGCCGAAACTGCCGAAGGCGAGAAAGGTAAACCGTCAGATTTGCTTTCTTGTGTCTTTTCAGATTAAAAAAAATGCAAACAATTTTAGAGTTTTTTTTTTTTTTTTTACCCCTTCTGGCCTGGTTTGGGAGCCTTGCTCTTGAATGTGCGAGTCTGCCTCTGCTTGAACTTGGGTGGGCCCTTCTTGGGAGTGGTGGGGCCCGCGGCTCCGCCAGGGGACAGGGCGCTTCCTGCTGGTGGACTGGCGTTCATTTCTGAGGAAGACAAAGGGGAGATTTTTTAAGCCTCTGCCTTCTGCTGTTCCGGCTTTAATCCTGTTTCCATCAAACTCTTAATGCCAATCAGGGCAGATTTTAAAGATTAGGCTAACCTGATGGATTAGCTCTAATCCAACTGCAATCCTCAGACCACTAATTGTCCTTCTCAGTGTGAAAACAGAAGGCAACCTTCATTCTTAACCTCAAACTTTCTTATTAGATGATGCCGACCTCCAACCTGCAGAACCCAAAACCCGTTTTGGTTTTCTAACTTTGGCATTAGTATGACGTTTCATTATTTATCAAGTTTGATGATTAGAACCTACAAAGAACCTCAGATACTTTCTAACCCCTTTAATCTGACTGCTGAGACCGTAGGGAGTGAAAAAAAAAACCCGTTTCATTTTGTTATTTAACTCAAACAGAAGCACCACCTGCATCAGTAAATAGCGGTGGAGAATCTCCATCAGAATACTGCAGAGATCTCGTTAAGGAGGCTCAGTGATGTGAGGACAAATCATCAGCCATCTGCTGCTTCTAAGTCAATCTGCTTCACTATGAGCCTTTTAAAGTCCAAACACTTCCAGCTTCTCTTTTTCAGTTCTCTGGTAGTACAGTTTAAAACTTTAAAAAATTTCAAGCAGCAAATGTTAAAAAAAAAAAAAAAAAAACCTAGTTCTATCTCTTTGGTTTAAAGTTTTGCCGTCGCCTTTTCCTCTCGACTGTTTTGCTAGTTTTGTGACATTTTTCTTTCCAAATCTCCATCAGTCGGGGAAACAATGCTAGCATCGGTCTGGTCTGCTCCTACCTGTTGTTGTTGCAGGTGTCCCACGGAGCTTCTGGTCACCGCTTCTTCGTTTTGCTCCTCGACTTTGTTGAGACACATCGCCTGCTTTGTGCTTTTATACCTTCATCCCTAATCCTCACATCCTCTGCTTACCAGTCACATGGTCGCTGGTAGAGGTCAGCCAAATTTCTTGAGCTACCTAGCATCTTCTTCTACCCCCCTCCTCCTCCCTGCCCTCGTTTCCATGGCTTCGCCTGGCCCCTCTGTGACTTCCTGCCACAGCATGGAGAAGAAGCGCTGGCCACTTGGAAAACAATGTCAGAGATCAACCTGGAAAGACTTTTATCCGGCTTACTCGTCTAAACCCCGGCACGCCTGCTTTTAGCGCTGCTGAGAGGAGACAATCTACCGCTCGCGTTCCTCGTCCATGTGAGCTGCTGCTCACACATGTGAGGCGCTGGGCTGTGCGTTTTATTGTGGAGCCTAGGCAGAGAAAAGCAGGATTAAAACCTGGGAATTTAGGCAAAATTCAATCTTAAAAAAACAAACTGTAGCTCCGTAAGTCTAATCTTTGGATGAACATTTAAATGTTTTGATTTGAAACAATTATTGACTGATGTGATCAGATTCTGAGATTTATAACTTGTCAGACATTTCTAGGTGTTTTACCAAAACTGATAAATGCACTCCACATTAACCTAGAGTGTCTGTCAGAAGTTAGAAGCCACATGTTTGGCGTTTGACCGAAGCAGAATATGAGACCCATATAGATCTGGTATTTTGTCTACTTTATTTGTTAATTGCCTCTTTCATTTTATTCTTTATTGTTTTATGTAATTGTTCTGCTTTGGTCAAATTCTGTTGTTTTTTATGAGCTACACACATAAACTCACTTTGACAATGGAATATTTTTCACATTACAATCAAAAGCTTCAGTATTTTACCTGTATTATTGGAATTTTAAGTGAAAAACCAACTCAAAGTGGTGCAAGAAAAATAATACGGGGTTTAGAAATATAGATCTGAAAAGTGTGGTGTGCATTTGTAGCAAATTAATTGTCGTTGCAATTAATTTGCTGCAAGTCGTTTCGGGTGCATCGCTTTAAGCTTTAGAGACGGGGATTGTTCTTTGTAAAATAACCCAACCTTGGATGATTGCATGGACAGCGCATGTGCAAATCTACTTTATGTTCAATGTGAAAGCATTAAATAAACAATCGACACCAGTAAAGATAAAAATTCCAATTAAAAAAAAAAAAACTCCTGTATTTTTCGGACCATTAGCGACTACTTTTTTTCCCCCTCGCTTTGAATCATGCGGCTTGTCGCCCTGTGTGGCTTTTCTGTAAATTTTTCTTCAGCCACCAGGGGGCGCTTTAG